TATGAATAGAAATTGAAATATTTTTATAACTTTTTCTAAATTACCTGAATTTTTTACTTGCTTTTTTCATATGTTTTACCTGATTTTGTTTCTCTAATTTAGAAGTTAATTTCTAAATTTCCAGAAATTAAAAAATAAAGGCTTTAGCTATTTTCATATTAATTTAGAAGAATCTCATCTGGGAATAGTTATTTTTGTTTAAAGGAAAGAAGAATATTTTTCAAGCAATCAGATGAAAATTCTTTAAACATTTTTATGGAATTTATTTTTTCTTGATAAATATCAATTAAGACTTCATTCTTTAAGCTATTTGGTAATTTATCAACAATAGATTCTGAAATTTGTTGCTTATATTCATCTTGGTAATATAAAAACTCAAAATGCTTCCTCACTTTCACTTATAGACTCATTCCTAATCCTATTTTTTTCATTTGATTATTTACGTCTGTCATGAAATCATTGAATTTCTAATTTTTAGAAGACTCAAATTTAACAATCTCGCTTATTTAAGAAAATGCGTAAGCAGTCACATTTGTGGCTAAAATTGATAGAAAAGCAATATACAATTTTTCATCTATTTTAAAAAATTTATTATTAGTCAAAATTTAAATATTTTACAATAAACTACTTAATTAATATGGGGATATATCACCATATCCAATAGTGCAAATAGTTATAATCATATAATAAAGAGATTAAAGGTAAAGATCCCACAAAGATTCTGTACTGAATCCTGCTTTTATAACCCAACTCATTTCTCCTTTTTAAATATTTTCAAGTCCAATTTTTAAAAAAATGCAGCAAGCAACATGGGCTAAAGTGATGACAAGTATTTCTAACTTGATTAACTTCATCCAGTTTTTAGTTGAATCGCTGATTTATAATTTATTTTCAAACTCTGATACCTTTTAAGGAATACTTAGATACTTTAAAAACACAATATAATCCAAATTTGAAGAAATGGTATTTTTGATTTATATGAACCTGTAGAGAAGCTGTATATTATCAAGATTAAAAAGTCTTAC